TGCTGGGATAAAGATCCAATAAACAATGGAAGGCTGGCATGACATATTAATAACCCTAGTCCCTGGTTGTCAACAGCTGGTGGCCTGGTGATCCACAGCTTGGTGACGGCTGGCAAGTGGTCCAGTGCTGGGTGCCAGATCCTAGGTGGTCCACGCTGCTGGGTGCTGGCTCCCATGTGGTCCACGGTGCAGTGTGCTGGCTCCCAGGTCGTCCACAGTGCTGGGCACCGGCTCCCATGTGGTCCACAGTGCTGGGATAAACATCCAATAAAAAATGAAAGGTTGGCATGAGATATTAACAACATGTATTATTTATGGAAATAGAAATATACCCCTCATGGTCATAAACCAATGGCACAAACTGCTGACAGTGACAGCTGACAGTGCTGTTTTACACGGTTTGCCTACTTACACCAGGAGCGTGCCAGGTCACTCCTTGCACCATAACCCCTATAGTTGCTTTAAAGTGCAAGGGATCCACTAAGGAGATGGCATTGAGAACAAAGGGCCGATTTGAAATATCAAGCAGTCTGACTGCACAATATCTACAGTTTTTGTTGTGGTGTACTTACTGTATTTAGTAAGAAGGAGGATCCACTCTTCCAGACTCCAGCTCCACCCAGTCGTTAAACCAAAAGAAGCAGTGCTGACAAATGAGACTGCTTGTTCACAACCAAATGAACAGTGATTTACGCAGGAGCTATACACCCTGTTCCAAATTATTATGCAAATTCTTTTAAGTGTCTCAAAGATTAAATATTTAGTTTTTCAATTTAACTCATGGATGGCATTGTGTCTCAGGACTCTTTTGATCACTGAAAACAATCTCGGACACCTGTGATAATTAGATTGCCAGGTGAGCCCAATTTAAAGAAAAACTACTTAAAGGACCACTATAGTGCCAGGAAAACATACTCGTTTTCCTGGCACTATAGTGCCCTGAGGGTGCCCCCACCCTCAGGGACCCCCTCCCGCCCGGCTCTGGAAAGGGGGAAGGGGTTTAAACTTACCTTTTTCCAGCGCTGGGTGGAGAACTCTCCTCCTTCTCTCCTCCTCCGTTCCGCCCCGTCGGCTGAATGCGCACGCGCGGCAAGAGCTGCGCGCGCATTCAGCGGTCTCAAACATTTACAATGCTTTCCCTATGAACGCTGGCGTGCTCTCACTGTGAAAATCACAGTGAGAAACGCATAGCGCCCTAGTATTGTCAATGAGGGCAGCCACTAGAAGAATAGAGAAGGCAACTTATTCACTTAATTATGCCCAGTTTCTCTGAAACTGCGCCAATTATGAAAAATGGGTTAACCCTAGAAGGACCTGGCACCCAGACCACTTCATTAAGCTGAAGTGGTCTGGGTGCCTAGAGTGGTCCTTTAAGGAGGGTGTTCCACATTATTAAGCAGAGCACCATTTTCATGCAATATGGGGAAGAAAAAGGATCTCTCTGCTGCCGAAAAGAGTGAAATAGTTCAATGCCTTGGACAAGGTATGAAAACATTAGATATTTCACGAAAACGTAAGCGTGATCATCGCACTATTAAGAGATTTGTGGCTGATTCAGAGCACAGACGGGTTCGTGCAGATAAAGGCACATTGAGAAAGATTTCTGCCAGATCCATGCATCGGATCAAGAGAGCAGCTGCTAAAATACCATTACATAGCAGCAAACAGATATTTAAAGCTGCTGGTGCCTCTGGAGTCCCACGGACATCAAGGTGTAGAGTCCTCCAGAGTCTTGCAACTGTGCATAAACCTTCTATTCGGCCACCACTAACCAATGCTCACAAGCAGAAACCGTTGCATTGGGCAGAAAAATACATGAAGATTAATTTTCAAACAGTCCTAGTCACTGATGAGTGCTTTTTAACCCTGGATGGTCCAGATGGATGGAGTAGTGCATGGTTGGTGGACGGCCACCCTGTTCCAACAAGGCTGTGACGTCAGCAAAGCGGTGGTGGAGTCATGTTTTCGGCAGGAATCATGGGAAGAGAGCTGGTCAGCCCCTTTAGGGTCCCAGAAGGTGTAAAGATGACCCCTGCAAAGTATGTGGAGTTTCTGACTGACCACTTTCTTCCCTGGTACAGAAGGAAGAACTATGCTTTCCGTAATAAAATCATCTTCATGCATGACAATGCACCATCTCATGCTGCAAAGAATACCTCTGCATCAATGGCTGCTATGGGGATAAAAGGAGTGAAAGTCATGGTGTGGCCTCCATCCTCCCCTGACCTCAATCCTATTGAGAACTTTTGGAGCATCCTCAAGCAAAAGATCTATAAGGGTGGGAGGCAGTTTACATCCAAACAGCAGCTCTGGCTATTCTGACATCTTGCAAACAAATTCAAGCAGAAACTGTCCACAAACTCTCAAGTTCAATGGATGCAAGACTTGTGAAGCTGCTATCAAATAAGGGGTCCTATGTTAAAATGTAACGTGACCTGTTAAAATTAAAAAGTTAAACTGTTAGTTTGATTGAAATAGCTTTTGATTTCCGTAAATATGCTGCAAATAATTTGGAACAGTGCATTGTAAGTTTTTTTATGTTTAAAAAAATACTGTTATCATTAGGAGGTTTGTTCAATAAAATTTGAATTGTACACTTAATAGTTGATAACATGAGAATTATGCTGACTGTTATTTACATCAATTATTTAGGTAAATGAGAAATATAATTTGCATAATAATTTGGAACAGGGTGTGAAGCAAAATGAGAAAGTGTCTAAAATAAATGACTTTTTATTTAAAGAACACGCAACCATAAAACAAACAGCAATCTCTAGAACATTATAAAACTTCATTCACCCATGTACTGTAAAACAAGGATTAGTGTTCAATGCAGTAACTGACAAATAATAGTTGTGTGGTCTCTATGTAATTCTTCAAAATCACATTCCTTTCTAAAATATGAAAAATAAAATACATTCACATGTAACAATTTTATATAACAGGATTCTTGTGGCAGACCATATATACCTTTTTAAAGATATCCTGAGTCTCAGTGCTCAGATACATAGTGTCCATCTGAGAATTCACAGGCATTGATCTCACAATAGTTGTACTTCTATCCCCACAGTAATATGTGGTGTTTGCGGTGGTCATCTCGTACAGGATAATCCAGAATGCCCACCAACCCTCAGGTAGATCATAGCGTTGTCCCTGCAGCCTCTGCAAATGATAATAGAAAACACTGGGAAACTACTCCTGTCCAATATATATAAAGATACCAAAGGTGAAGAGATGTAAGCTAAATTTTAATTTGCACTCCATTTTAAAGGGATTCTACAGTGCCAGGAAAACAAAGCAGTTTTCTTGGCACTATTGGTTCCTACAGTGCCCCCCTCCCTCCCACGGCGCTGAAGGGCTTAAAACCCCTTCAGTCACGTACCTGAAACCAGAGCTGTCTTTAATAATGACTGGATCCTGGGCCTCCCTGGACCCTGCTCCCCTCCCACTCCTTGGCATGCAATCACGGCATCCACCCCAACGCAGTGGCGGTACTAAAGTAGAAAGAATTTTATCGGGACCCCCAGTTGCAAGATTGGACTAAAGGTAGAAGCCCATCTGTCGTGCAACACCAACAATGCTTTGACAGTTGGGGCTCTACCAATTTCCCATGTTTGCAGGATTGTATTTAGTATTGAGCCGTGTTTGTGTGTTTGAATGTAAGCATGTGTTTGTATGGAGTATTGGAGTTTAAATGCAATTGTGCATTTATGTGTAGTGTTTGTTTTTGAATGTAGGGGTGTGTTTATATATAATTCTGGTGTTTAACACAGAGGTGTGTTTGTATGTAGTGTTGACATTTCAATGCAGGAGTGTGTTTGTATGTAGTGTTGACGTTTGAATGGAGGGGTGTATTTGTATTTAAAGTTGGTGCTCAAACACACATGTACACACACTGACACACAAGCAGATACACAGATACACATTAGGGATCGACCGATTATCGGTCTGACCGATATTATCGGCCGCTATTCTGAATTTTCAGCAATATCGGTATCTGCCTATAAAGATACTGATATTGCCGATAATGCAGACCAGGGCCGCCATCAGGGCATGACAACCGAAATGGTTGTCAAGGGCCCGGCATTCCTGGAGGGCCCATAGCACACTCTTACTTACCTTCCCAGCAGCTCCCTTCAGCTCCCTTGTCTAAATCTCACGAGTCCTGCGGCTGTCAGAGCGTTGCCACAAGTTACCAGGGCAACTCTCCGTACGGGACACAGACCGCGAGAAATGTACAGAATATCGGTATCAGTAATTTATTGGCTATCGACCTGAAAGTTTACAGTTTATCGGTATCGGCTCTAAAAAAATCAATATCAGTCGATCCCAAATGCACATACAGTTAAACACACAGATACACACACTGACAACATACAGATACACAGGCACATACACTGACAGACATACTGACACACACACACATACACTTCTAGACGTACTGACACACACTGACAGACATACTGACAGACACACGCAGACACATATAGAGACATACTGACGCACACACAGGCACATATATAGACATACTGACACAAACACACAGCTTTATTTGTACCCGCAGGACCTGGGAACCTTGCAGTCATTGAGTCAACTAAGACCTCTTCTGTATACCAGAGTATTCTAAAGGCCGGAATTTGGTCATGCAGCAGGACAATGATCCCAAGCACACCAGCAAATCTAGAACAGAATGGCTGAAAAAGAAAAAAACAAGGTGTTGCAATGGTCCTCTCAAAGTCCAGACCTCAACCTGATTGAAATGCAGTGGCGGAACCTTAAGAGAGCTGTGCATAAACAAATGACTTCAAACCTCAATGAACTGAAGCAACGTTATAAAGAAAAGTAGGCCAAAATTCCTCCACAGCTATGTGAGAGACCATAAAGTCATACCGAAAACGATTACTTCAAGTTATTGCTGCTAAAGCTGGTTCTACAAGCTATTTAAGGTGCAATTAGTTTTTCACACATGGTTCTCCATTTTGGCTTTATTTTTGTAAAATAAATCATGACAAAAGGCAGAGCCTGCAGCGCAGCACATGGCTTAGAGCAGAATCCGATATCAGCCTAACTAAGATCAATCAGCTGAAACAAAGAGCAGACACCATTCCAGGGCATTCTGCCAAACCTGCAGATGCTTTTTTTTTTCACGCCCCGGCATGAAACACTGCAACAGAGTCATAGCGGCCTACCGTGTCCACGCCCGACCACATGACCTAGCCTGAGAGTTAACCACGTGGCACACAGCTCGCAACACCAGATTTCTACTCTCCGGAGGAGATAGGACAGAGGTCTCAAAAACCGACCCCATGCACACCCAAACCACAATGAGACATAGACATCATGCTGCAAATCTCACTACCAGAACAGAACCAGACCACTCTGGAGGCCTCACCCACATGGTCTGATGTTGAGGACTCATTGCACAGCATGGCTACAGCCACGACAGAAAGGGAGACCCCACAGAAGAATCTGTCCCTGCAACTAAGCATTCAAGGGCAATCACCAAGAACTCCAAGGGAACTCCAATGGCAATCACCAACAAATATGGCAGGCAGACCTGAAGGGTCTCGCAGCTGAAGTGCAAGCAGTCACAGCCCATACCCAAACCACAGAGGAGGAGGTGAAGGATCTGCGACAAGGCTTGAATGCACTCTAAGAAACCATAAAACAGATGCAATCCTCACAGGCCACTCTCTCCAGGCAAGTTAATCTGTTAGATGACAAAGGTAGGAGGAAAAATGTTAAAATCAGGGCGGGTCTCAGAATCGGTACCTCTGGATGAACTTCCTCATTTTATAAGGCACCTAGTAGCCTCACTCTTACCCACAAAACAAGCTAAATACTTCTCTTTTGATGGCGTATATAGGATCGCCAAATCACCACAAGCTCCAAATGCTGCATCCTGCAACCTCATTTTAAGATGCCAAACGCTAACAGATAAAATGGTTCTCATGGCTGCCATCACGGAAAAAACACCTTACGAATTTGAAACTTGCCGAATTGCGGGATTGGAGAAGGCCAGCACTGGAGTGAGCAGGCAGTAAGTTAGGTGTAATCCCAGTAAGCTGGTTCCCAATAGGCTCTACCTGATGCGGACCACTGCCCTCGCTTTTCTATATCTCTAGGAGAGATATGGGATAGACCACCACCACACTCTCCTAACACACGACCATACCTAGAACCAACTAATCTATCTATAGACACAACCTAATACACTAAATGATGCCCAAGAGTATGTACTACTATACATCTTGAAATAGACAGTCCTATACCAAGTGAAATCTCCCTTGACGGCATTAACTTCAGTATGACCTGTCTATGCTACCACATGCACTGCCACACCATGCCTAGCTCATTTCAGATTTCAAGCGCATAGTATTGGACAGACCCCATAAAAGTGCAATTTTTATATATACCATGTAAGCATTTTTGCCTTGTTATTATGTTCTTATGTTTATGGCATTATGAATGTGTTCTGACTTATCTTTATGCACAGAAAATGAAAATAAAGAATGTAAAAATAAAAAAAATCATGACATGGTGTAATATGTCACATGCTGTTGTTCACCTGAATCAGGGTAGTTTGGCGAATCAAGATTTGAATCTCTACCTTCAAAAATGCAAAATGCCCATTTTGAAGGCCTGCTAAGGAACAGATGATTATTATGTCCTGATATGTAAAACTACATTTCAAGAGGGTGTACTGTCTTTTTCCCATAACTGTATATTGTTATACGTATGTAGTGTTGTGGTAGATTGTACTGACTATTAGCGTGATTTTTATTTATTCTTAATATGATATAATATTATAAAGTGATATGTGCGCCACACTCCCATTTTGCCCTGCGTGGTTGAACACTTAGTCGTGATTTGCTAAGTTTAATTATTCTTCTAGTGTGCCCTCTTTATTGATTTTGTATTTATGGTGCCAGAAGTTCCTGATGTTACTCATTTTAAAGAGTCAAACCTCAAGGCTAAGTTCCTGCTTAGGAATTTCCACTTCTCCAGTGATGGTAGTGGTGGCAGGGAGCAGCATCCAGCAAACCCAAGGTAAGAATTCAAAGTGTTCAAAAATGGCAAGCTGTAGCGGTTAAGGTACTTGGAGCATTCCATTAACATTCCTTCTGCTTTTCCAATTGGAGCTCTCATCAAACTCTGAATAGAAGTGTGGTGCATGGCTATATGTGCCCAGTAACTGATGGCATCAAGTGTGCTGTGGAAATCTTACAAACTATTCTGAGGCTAACTTTGATATGCTTTAAGAATGGTTTCGTGCATGTAAGAAGTAAGAGTTGTAGAAACAAAGCAAAGAAAGCACACAGAAAACAAAAGTATGATATCAAATTACACATACCGAAGAGTGGAAAAAGAACAACTGCGTATTGAGGGGAAATAATTCACACTACAGGCACCCACAGCACGTTGCAGGTTGAGAGAAACCTTTATTTATATTTTTATATATGTTTTTAGGTATTTATGTATTTTAATGGATGTTTAGCACTTTATAATTGTTTTCTAAGTCATATGCTGCTATTGACTATTTCTTTTTATCTTGTCTGTTTTTGCCCAAATCCAATATAGCATTTCTTACCTCTATGGGAACAATGAACTTCCGTGTGAGTTTGCTATCTTATGGACGCATATTGGTAAAACATAACAATTATTATGGCTCCAAGCTAGCCTATTGGACAAGACCCCCCATCTGCAACACACATGCTTTATAACCATATGGATAATCTGATTCAAGCAAGTGCCGCCGGAGCCGAAACAAAGACCACCCATGTACAAGATAGACGCCGGAAACCTCCAATTGAAGCATGCCATGACATGAGACACAGACATTAGTTGTGACATTTTCTCTTCCATATGTGGCCGAAACCGGATGAGCCGCCATGTTGGGGAAGGCGGATTACATCCGGTCCGGACCATATATAGAAGTTTTTTCACATGTGTGTTCATTATTACACTTGTTGTTCGTTATGTATAGTTAGTATTAGGGTATATTAAGCCTGTTATGTCAGTTGCTAGGTAGCCTTTACAGAGGAAGACCTCTCTTAAGTTCGAAACGCTTGTGCTATTTTATTTTATGTTTTAACTTCAATTTAGAATAAATAACTTTTTATATCACTGATTTGGTTCCTGGTTCCAGTTTTTACTTTGAAACTCCAAGGTTCCAGCGATACACCACTACAACTATCCCTATTGTGGATGACATGCCTTTACAGTTCAGAGCCATTCTTCAAGGGCTCTGTAAAGTGTGAGTGTTCCATTTTTATTGTCTCACTGTTATATTATGTGGTGTTTTTAGGATTTGTGCTGCCCTAGGCAGGACGGTGGTCGGGCACCCCCCCTCCCCAATTTAAATTTTCCCCACCCCTTCCTGTCAAGCCCGCACTGACTGACAGACGCTCACTCACTGACAAACGGATACACTCACTGACAGACGCACACACTCTCATATACACTGACAAACAATGACATACACAAACACTATTACTTGGACACACACTGATAGACGCACGCACTCACTGACCGACACATACACACTCACTGACCGACACACACTTATAGACACACACACACACACTGACAGACAGACACACACACATACACACACACACACTTACAGACATACACACTTACAGACACATACACATTTCTCCCAATACTCACAAATTATTATTTTTTTAAAATTTTATTTTAAATCCACCAAGCAGGGGGCGGACAGGCTGAGTAGGCGGCGAGGGAGCTTTAATCTTCCTGCTCAGCTCCCTCGCGCGCCGCTTAGTGATGCCAAGAGCCGAAATGACGTCATATTCCGACTTCCGGCTTCATTAAGCGGCGCGGAGAGAGCTGAGCAGGAAGAGCTCAGGTGAGCATGCTCCCTCGCTGCCCGCTGCCGCCTCGGGGGGGCTCGTGGCCAGCTCTTGAGCCCCCCAGGACATGAGACAAACAAGGGATCTGCCTGGGCGTTTGGGGTTGGCTTTTTTGCTGGGGGATGTCCGTAGGAGTACTCACAGATCAATTTTCAAGTTCAGTTTGTCTAGATAACCCGTCGGCGTTACCGTTTTGTTTCCCAGGGCGGTAATGGATGGTAAAGTCAAAAGGCTGCAGCGCCAAACTCCAGCGCAGCAGCCTGGCATTGTCTCCAGCCACACGGTTTAGCCACACCAACGGGTTGTGATCTGTGAGCAAGGAAAAAGGTTGTCCATATAAATACGGCTGCAACTTTTTGAGGGTCCACACCACGGCCAGGCATTCTTTTTCGATGGCGGCGTAGCTCATTTCCCGTGGTAATAGTTTCCGACTTAGATACGCTACGGGATGTTCTCCGCCATCTGCTCCAACTTGGCTTAGCACTTCTCCCAATCCAAACATTGAAGCGTCTGTGTGAACAAGAAAGCGTTTAGTTGGATCAGGAGCAGCAAGTACTGGTGCATTAGTTAGAGCCGTCTTAAGTTGGTTAAATGCCTGATCACATTCTGGGGCCCAGACGACCTGTCGAGGAAGATTCTTGCGGGTCAAGTCAGTCAAGGGTTTGGCCAGGGCGCTGTAATTGGGCACGAATTTTCTATAGTACCCTGCAGTCCCCAGGAAAGCTAGCACTTGGGTCTTTGTCCTAGGTGTGGGCCACTTAGCCACGGCTTCAGTTTTGACTGGTTCGGGCTTTTGTTGCCCGCTCCCCACCCGGTGGCCCAAGTACTGCACCTCGGCCATCCCTATGTGACACTTGCTAGGTTTCAGTGTCAACCCTGCCTCCCTGATACAATCATTAACGGCCCCTATGTGTTGCAGGTGTTCTGCCCAGGTCTGGCTATATATATGCATATTCCTGGAAGCCGTCCAGTAGCCGATCTACCATCCTCTGAAAGGTCGCCGGGGTGTTTTTCATCCCGAATGGCATGACCAGAAACTGGTACAGGCCAAACGGGGTGACAAACGCCGACTTGGGGATGGCATCCTCATCTAGTGGAATTTGCCAGTATCCCTTACATAAATCTATGGTAGTGAGATACTTTCCTCTTGCCATCTTATTCAGCAACTCGTCCATCCGGGGCATCGGATAGGCATCAGACACAGTTTTGTCATTTAGCCTCCGGTAGTTGACACAAAACCGTGTCGTGCCATCCTTCTTAGGTACCAGCACTACCGGCGATGCCCAGGGGCTATCGGAATGTTCAATAACCCCTAGCTGCAACATTTCCTCAATTTATTTCCTCATATGTTCCCTGACTGCTTCAGGGATACGATATGGGGTCTGCCGCATAGGTAGCTGTCCAGGGTGTTACAAAAGACTCAAAATGACTCTGTTATTGTTACTACCTATTGCTACTGTTACAACTCTATACGTTTAAGCCGAGGAAACACGAATGGATTACACGAACTCTTATAAAGACCCCATTCGTGATACGAACGAGAGACCCCCCAAATGCTGGCGTGTGCCGCCAATTAACCTCATCACCCCGCAAAGTACCGAACGGTCGACCACCCGACCAGTGGAGTGTGGCGGCCATGAACCACCCAGGTGGCTGCGGTTAACCACAGACTAATTGACGGGCCTGGAGGATCGACGTTCGCACACAAATCACCGAAGGGAACCTACCGAACAACCTCACGAATGGAGACCCCCTACAGTGGGTTGTATGGCAGCAATTAGCCTGTGGTTTCTGCAGTTAACCGCAACTCAAGTACCATGCTACCAGGTGGTCCTCGTTCATGTACCGAACGAGTTCCACTACCAGACAGACAGCGGGGATTCGCATGAACTTATACCCGAGTGTAGTTCCATAAGTTAGAGGCGAGGTCCCGCTGCCTGTTAAACCGTCTGAAAACATGGCCACCATCAGAGACTCACGTGGCCGCCATCAGAGACTCCAAAATACCGAACAGACTTTATACGGCAGAAATAGCCCATTCTGTTCGTGGGATTGGAGCGCCATTCGTATGTTTAATGTACCCGAACGCGAGCTATTAAATGAATGGTAGAATGAGCTGTTTTCCTCTATTAATGTTAAAGTTATGGATTTTATACAGTTTTATGGGACATAATAAAATGTGGTCTTTTGTGCGCTTGGAGATAATTAGATTGTATAACCGTTGACCTTATTATCTACAAGCTGGGCGGGTACTAATTCAAATGATACACTGTATTGTGATTGGTTACCTGTTTGTACTGTACCTGTATTCCATCAGGTCCACAGGGGGCTGTCCTTGGACCTGAGGAATCCATAAATTGCCATGTTGTGTGCCAGTAAAGCCAGTTCGTTTTGACCCTCAACTTGCAGCCTCGACTCATGTTGTAAGGATCCGGGATATTGATGCTTATACCGTGTTTGGGATATTCTACACTTGCAGCTTATTACCGAAAGACCTCCGTTCGACTCTCTACAGCAGGAACCAGGACATCCAAGCGATCAACCCTGCTAGACCGGGGGCAATCGTAACACAGGGGTCTCGACTCGGTGAGTGGCTAGCAGAGTGTACCCAGGCAAATTGGAGAAGGTGGCTCCTTTAGCCGCTATCAACTCTTGTACCTGGGCTCGCTCCTGAGGGCTTAGCCGCTCCCCCAGTTGAACCCCCGTGGAGGGCTCTGTCTGATCGTCCTGTTCTAATAGGTCAGGTAGTGGCAGGTTCTCCTGATCCTCTGAGGCGGAGGCGCACGATAGGCAGCAATCTCATGATAGGGTTTGAGCATATTCATGTGGAGCATGCGTCTCTTCCCTACACCTGAGCAGGGGCCAATCACATAGGTGGTGTCACATCTCTGGTCCACCACCTTGTATGGGCCTTACCTGATTCTGCAGCTTGTCTGTGCGGACAGGTTTTAAAATCAAAACCTTCTGTCCCACTTGAAAGCTGCGGTCTCTGGCTCCCCTATCGTACCAGCGGCGCTGGCGTTGTCCCTGAACTCCAACACGTACGGTACAATGGGGGTCCCATCTGAACTACTCTCTCCCTCCCAATGTTCTCTAATTAGATCTAATGGTCCTCGCACCCTTCTCCCAAACAGCAATTCGAAAGGGGAAAATCCTGTCGACTCCTGTGGTACTTCTCTATAAGCGAAGAGCAGATGGGGTAGAAATCGCTCCCAGTCCTTATGGGCCTCTCCAAACGTACGGAGCATCTGCATCAGGGTACCATTAAACCTCTTGCATAAACCATTGGACTGCGTGTGATATGCTGAATTTACTATCGGCTTAATGCCACATATCTTCCACAGTTGTTGGGTGACCTCGGCGGTGAACTGGGTACCCCTATCAGATATTATCTCCTGGGGAAACCCTACCCTGGAGAATATTTTCATTAAAGCCTCACCTACAGTTTCGGCATGAATGTTAGAGAGGACGATGGCCTCGGGATACCTGAGGGACTAGGCTTGGGCAAGGGGCCCACTATATCTACGGCCACCCTACTGAAGGGTTCTTCAATAATGGGAAGGGGGCACAATTTAGCTTTGTGGCGGTCACCCCTCTTCTGGCAAATGTCGCAGGAGTTGCAGTAATGCCTCACATCTTTGGAAATCCCTGGCCAGAAAAAGGCATGGGTCAACCTGTACCGGGTACGCGTCACTCCCAGATGCCCCGACAAGGGGATATCGTGCGCAATCCTAAGCAGTTCTTGCCTATATTTTGGGGGACTACTAACTGTTTAGTCGTGTGTGCTGATCCTGGTACCAAATGGGGCGCTGCCAAAGTTAGGGTGGCTCCCGAGTCTCTGAGCCCCTGCACTTCTTTCCCTTCTAGTGTCACCCGCTGATGGTGATGTTGTCGGTTGTCAGTAGCTTGGACCGACATTACCTCATGCAGTAGTCCCAGGGGTTCCTTTGCCTGAGTACTCAGTATCTCTTGGGTGGCTGGCTCTACTTGATAATGATGTGCAGCGGTCTTGGGTGCCGGGTTCTGTCTGACTTGGTTCCACGCTTGTCGGCTCCTGTTCTGCATGCACTCTCAAGACATATGTCCCCACTGCCGGCAGGTATGGCATTGGATGTTAGCCCTGCCATTATACCGGGAGGGTGGAGGTTGGTTCCCCTGGGTTGGTCGAAAAAAGGTGTTGCTGGGGCTGCTGTAGGTGTCACTGCACTGGGTTGCACAGTGGGTCGAGGGTAATTCCTATTTAGGTGCCCGTGATGCCTCCTTGCATCAAAATGCTGGTCTGCTAATCTGGCCACTTCAGTTAGGGTGAGGGGTTTGCGGTCTCTCACCCATTCTTGTGCCTCTGGGGACAAGCCATTAAAGAATTGTTCCAACAGCATCAATTGTCGCAACTCCTCCATAGTGGTGGCTTGGCTTGCTTGTATCCACCCCTGTGATGCTTGATCTAGCTTGTGTGCCCACTCGGCATGCGAATCCTTCTCCGGTTTATTCAAGCTTCTAAACTTGCGCCGGTATGCCTCCGGGGTAATGGCATATCTTTCCAGTATCGCCCGTTTTACTTTGTTATAATCCTTGTTGTCCTCTCTGGGTACAGCGCGATAGGCTTCTGCTGCCCGCCCTGACAGTTTGCCTGCCAGTAACGGTACCCATACTGCCTGCTCCAAGTCATGCAAATCACACATCGAAATCCTGTAAATACCCATCAATCTCATCCTTCTCCTCACAAAACATTTTAAAGGCATGGTATGGGATTTTGGGTTTTACCTGGCTGTAGACGGCGGCAGTGATAGATTCTGACCTGTCTCCTGCGGACTGTGTGCCATCACATACTCCACATCCGCCATCAGCACGGTCAATATTTCCAAGGGTATTGGCTGTGGCAGAAACTCCATCCTGGTCCTCATCTCCTTCTGATATAGAGTTTCCCCCATGGTTGGTGGGGGTGTAACGCTGTGGGCTCTGTCTCCCTCCATCAGCTCGGCGATCAGCACTGCTTTCGGCTTGTTGCTGGCTATCTTTCCCCTGGTTTCCAGCAATTCCTTTAGTGTCTGACTTTTCAATGCAGTGTAATCCGTCCCCATTCACTTTTCTCTTTCAGTTGTCTGCTGTATACGAATTGCCATTCCCTTTTCTCGTTCGGTAGTTTCACTTTATCCGAACGACGCGTTTTGGCTGTAAGGTTGGATCCCGTCGCTTCCCACCAATTGCAGCGGAGCGGCAATATTAAATCCCACGATCTCCGCTGGTAAAGAAGGTAATCCACAGTCAGCGCTGAAAAGTAAGGCAATAACCCAAATCCCCCAGTAACCGGACGAAACACAGTTCTGGGAGTCAACTGAGGTTTTAGTCACAGGTCACAGTATTTATGCAAGTCCCCATGCAAGGGGTTTCCCTACTGACATAGCAGGGGTAATACAGTAGGGGACTACATGGGGGACTTAACATTCAGACCTTTTCTCCCATCAGGCACTGCTGCACGAGAGGGATACTCCCACTAGAATATACCGTTAAGTGGATTATTCCTGCGTGCAGCAGAACCGGTAATTCACTTTAAAATCCATAACTTTTACAATACTTAGTCTATTTAAACGAACGGACGTTCGGTAGATAGCTAGGGTCTGAGTGCACAGTTCGTGAGAATACCGCTCAGATCCCAGCTAAAACAACCGAACGCCGCACGAAATACACTTTGCCATTGAGTTCGCCCCAAAGTACCAAACACCGATGGGGGAACCCTAATAGCGAAAGACCGGAGCTCCCGAACGGCCTGGAAGTCCAGCGGTGTTCACGCCGTCGAGTAGCCATTTTCAGTTCCATGCGCTCGACGACCAAACACCGCTGGGGAGACAAAGGATCGAAGATGGCCGACCGCCGCGTGGTCGCTAGCTGGACGGCGGCCACCAAGGAAAGCCTCTTATTACCGATTGCAACATTGTTGCAATCAGTTAACGAGCGCCACATGTCCCTCTCTGTGTGGGCTATTAGGGGGTAGCTCATTCGGTTCACGAACAGCCTGTAAAGTGGCTGTTCGTGAAACGAAACACATGAATGCTAGCGGCTTTCGGCTGCTAGCATATGAATTCACTACAAACATACATTAACCCACAGTAAGCAGAATACATTTAAATACATAACACTATCAAACAAGGTTACACATACAGTACAGGGAGTGCAGAATTATTAGGCAAATGAGTATTTTGACCACATCATCCTCTTTATGCATGTTGTCTTACTCCAAGCTGTATAGGCTCGAAAGCCTACTACCAATTAAGCATATTAGGTGATGTGCATCTCTGTAATGAGAAGGGGTGTGGTCTAATGACATCAACACCCTATATCAGGTGTGCATAATTATTAGGCAACTTCCTTTCCTTTGGCAAAATGGGTCAAAAGAAGGACTTGACAGGCTCAGAAAAGTCAAAAATAGTGAGATATCTTGCAGAGGGATGCAGCACTCTTAAAATTGCAAAGCTTCTGAAGCGTGATCATCGAACAATCAAGCGTTTCATTCAAAATAGTCAACAGGGTCGCAAGAAGCGTGTGGAAAAACCAAGGCGCAAAATAACTGCCCATGAACTGAGAAAAGTCAAGCGTGCAGCTGCCACGATGCCACTTGCCACCAGTTTGGCCATATTTCAGAGCTGCAACATCACTGGAGTGCCCAAAAGCACAAGCTGTGCAATACTCAGAGACATGGCCAAGGTAAGAAAGGCTGAAAGACGACCACCACTGAACAAGACACACAAGCTGAAACGTCAAGACTGGGCCAAGAAATATCTCAAGACTGATTTTTCTAAGGTTTTATGGACTGATGAAATGAGAGTGAGTCTTGATGGGCCAGATGGATGGGCCCGTGGCTGGATTGGTAAAGGGCAGAGAGCTCCAGTCCGACTCAGACGCCAGCAAGGTGGAGGTGGAGTACTGGTTTGGGCTGGTATCATCAAAGATGAGCTTGTGGGGCCTTTTCGGGTTGAGGATGGAGTCAAGCTCAACTCCCAGTCCTACTGCCAGTTCCTGGAAGACACCTTCTTCAAGCAGTGGTACAGGAAGAAGTCTGCATCCTTCAAGAAAAACATGATTTTCATGCAGGACAATGCTCCATCACACGCGTCCAAGTACTCCACAGCGTGGCTGGCAAGAAAGGGTATAAAAGAAGAAAATCTAATGACATGGCCTCCTTGTTCACCTGATCTGAACCCCATTGAGAACCTGTGGTCCATCATCAAATGTGAGATTTACAAGGAGGGAAAACAGTACACCTCTCTGAACAGTGTCTGGGAGGCTGTGGTTGCTGCTGCACGCAATGTTGATGGTGAACAGATCAAAACACTGACAGAATCCATGGATGGCAGGCTTTTGAGTGTCCTTGCAAAGAAAGGTGGCTATATTGGTCACTGATTTGTTTTTGTTTTGTTTTTGAATGTCAGAAATGTATATTTGTGAATGTTGAGATGTTATATTGGTTTCACTGGTAATAATAAATAATTGAAATGGGTATATATTTGTTTTTTGTTAAGTTGCCTAATAATTATGCACAGTAATAGTCACCTGCACACACAGATATCCCCCTAACATAGCTATAACTAAAAACAAACTAAAAACTACTTCCAAAAATATTCAGCTTTGATATTAATGAGTTTTTTGGGTTCATTGAGAACATGGTTGTTGTTCAATAATAAAATTAATCCTCAAAAATACAACTTGCCTAATAATTCTGCACTCCCTGTACAGCGGCCATTACAGACAACTTTTTATATATATATATATATATATATATATATATATATATATATATATATATAGTCCAACATGCTACAAGTGGCGAAGTTTGCCACAATCCAAATAGAGCTATCTTTGCTTGTCAGTAAGAGGGGCAGACAACAGTACAATTTCACCGGGAATCACGTGGTAGAGTGTCCGAAATTAGTTCCATGGCGTTGACGACCAAGTACAGTTGTCTGCGTTTGGGAGACAAAATGACCAAATGATGTTATTTGAGTTGATTGAAGATAAAGAGCTAGGGTATGGCCAGAGTTCAAGAAATATAAAAGGGGAGAACATTCATTTGGGACACGAACAAGGGGGTTATGGGCAAATGAACAAGCAGAGGACCAGGTCTGCTACAAGTAAATAATGAGAAAAATCAGGAGTCAAATGGTGTTTTTGTTTTTGTTTTGATTTGTTTTTGAATTGAATTTTACAACTAACTACCGAGTCTTCTTGCCACAAATGGTGAAGTCTCTGGATCCCTGCTATCTCTAAAATTTTAAAGTCTTGGAGTCTCATGCCCAAAGGAAAGTGTCTATTATGGAAGACTGGAGCCATCTGAGAGGGATTATTGGCGAATTTATATTTGTTTCTGCCTCGGTCAAATATGTCTATGGAATTTAATATCAAAAGGCATTTAGTTTGAATGAAGGTCCTAGAGGATTTATTTTTATTATTATTATGATATTTATAGAGCGCCGTCAAATTCCACAGCGCTTTACAATGGGTGGACGAACAGACATGTATTTGTAACCAGACAAGTTGGACACACAGGAACAGAGGGGTTGAAGGTAAGGATAATATTAGACTAGTGACAGTTGCAGAAGAGGAATCAGTCAGGAGCTATTGACAGTTTAATTGATACGCTTTTATGAAGAAGTGGGTTTTTAACGATTTTTTGAAGGAGTGGAGACTGGGTGAGCATCTAACGGAGGAGGGAAGCGAGTTCCACAGGAACGGTGCAGCCCTCGAGAAATCTTGAAGGCGAGCATCAGAGGTGGGAGTACCGACAGAAGATAGACATAAGTCTTCAGCAGATTGTAAGGGTCTAGATGGGACATACTTGTGTATAAGGGAGGATAGATAGGTGGGAGCAGCATTATGTAGAGATTTGAAAGCAAGAACCAGAATTTTAAATTGAGCTCTATATTTTATAGGAAGCCAATGTAGGGACTGACAGAAGGGTGAGGTATGGGAGGTGCGGGTGGACAGGAAGATGAGCCTCGCCGCCGCATTCATTATGGACTGTAACGGCGCTAGTTGGGAGCACGTTAGACCACAGAGAAGCGGATTACAGTAGTCAAGGCGAGAAAGGACAGTGGAATGGACCAACACCTTAGTCGCATCTGGCGTTAAGTAGGGTCGGATGTTCGCAATGTTTTTGAGATGGAAATGACAGGATTTGGCAATAGATTGAACATGAGGTTTGAAGGAGAGGTTGGAGTCAAAGAGAACCCCTAGGCAGCGAGCCTGTGTGGTAGAGCTGATGGTAGCACCGTTGACTTGGAGGGAGAGAGACACAGGAGTAACAACACTTGAGGGAGGAAAGACCAGAATTTCAGTTTTGGTCGAGTTTAGTTTAAGGAAGTGGGCAGCCATCCAGTTAGAAACAGCAGAGAGGCAGTCAGAGACACTATTTAAGAGGGACGGGGAGAGATCAGGAGAGGACAGATAGATTTGCGTGTCATCTGCATAGAAATGATATTGGAAGCCAAAGGAGCTAATGAGTTTACCAAGGGAGTCAGTATAGATGGAGAACAGTAGGGGACCAAGGACTGAACCTTGGGGGACACCAACAGAGATGAGTTGGGGAGAAGAAGCAGAGCCAGAGAAAGAAACACTGAAAGAGCGCTGGGTGAGGTAGGAGGAGCACCAGGAGAGAGCAATATCTTATATTGCGGAGGATGAGAAGAAGCTGTTGATGATCAACAGTGGCAAAAGCCGCAGACAGGTCAAGGAGAATTAGGATAGAGTAGTGACCACGAGATTTTGCAGCGAGTAGATCACTTTGGTCAGTGCCGTTTCCACAGAGTGCTTAGCGCGGAAACCAGACTGAAGCAGGTCTAGCAGAGAGTTGGACTCGAGGAAGTCTATCAATCTCGCATACACAATTTTTTCAAGGATCTTGGATGCAAAAGGCAGTAGCGAGATAGGACGATAGGTGGATGGGGAGTTATGGTCAATATTGAGCTTCTTTAGAATTGGGGTTACAGTTGCATGTTATATACCAGAGGAGAGAGAGAGATTGAGAATTTTAGTGAGAGGTGGAGAAAGAGAAGAAGACAGAGTACGGATGAGATGTGAGGGAAGTGGATCTAGGGAGCAGGTGGTGGGGCGGGAGGACTGGAGCAGAGTAGAAACATCTTCCAATGTAGCGGGTGCGAATGAACATATAACAGCAGAGGGAGTGAAGTTAGGGGACGTATTGTAAGGAGAAGAAGAAAGATGAGAGATCTCTTCTCTGATAGTAGAGATCTTGTCAGTGAAGTGAGTTGCAAAGTCTGAGGCGATCAAGTTAGTAGGTGGAGGAGCAACAGCAGGGCGAAGAAGAGAGTTAAATGTGTGAAATAGTCGTTTGGGTTCACGAGAGAGTGTGGTTATGAGGGTATTGAAGTAATTAACCTTTGCAGAGGAAAGAGCCAAGCTGTATGAGCTCAGCATAAATTTATAGTGGAGAAAGTCAGACGCACAGTGAGACTTTCTCCAACAGTGTTCAGCAGCATTTTTGGAGGTATCGAGTGAGCTTGGTGTGCCAGGGTTGTTGTTTGGGGTGCCTGCGGCTTTTAAATGTACAAGGTGCCACATATAAAATTTTGTTAAGTTCAATTTCATTATACTTGTTTTTTAGCTCCTAAAATATAAACTACTATATACCATACATCTTTAAAATATCATACAAGTGAAAGTGCACTGTGCATAGATATAATATGCCAAACGTGCAAAACGTTAAAAATACTTATACCACAATATGCAGAATATCAACATCTGATTACTCTTTTGTAGAGAAACGATATTCTTATTACATAAGAAAGAAA